ATCACACACACTAGTAGGCAGTTTAGCAGTTTGCATTGCATAAACAGGCACAGCCGAAGTAACAGATTGAATAAGGGTAGCTCTACCAGCTAGAGAAAGAAATTTACCCTTCCAGGCAGCAAGTCTTTTATGCACTTTGTCAATTAAGCTACTATAAGTCCTTTTATCAATTCGAGAATGCAATAGAGGCATACCCAGGTACCTTCCAAGATCTTCAGTTAGAGGAGAGCCACAAATACAACTGATTTCTTTAGCTATTTCCTTACAGGTGTTAGGAGAACAAAATATAGCAGATTTATCAAAATTTACTGTTTGACCAGAGGCTTGACAAAAAACCTCCAAGCAATTCTTCAAAACTCTAGCTTGATTAGAGGTAGCTTCAGCAAACAAAACTAGGTCATCAGCAAAAAAGAGGTGAGAGACAGCAGGGCCAGCTTGGGAGGACTTAACAGGTCTCCATTTACCCATTCGAACATCCTCGAAAATAATATGGGACAACTTTTCAATACACAACACAAACAAGTATGGAGACAAAGGGTCCCCTTGTCTAATACCACTCTTAGGCTGGAAAGACTCAGTGAGCTCTCCATTGATACATATTTGATACTTCACAGTAGAAACACAACTCATGATCAACTTAATTAGATTGAGAGGCAGACCCAACTCCACAAGCACATGCTCAATAAAATTCCAATTTAGGCGGTCATAAGCCTTAGAAAGATCAATTTTCCAAGCCATGAAACCTTTTTTACCCTTAGACAATTTAAACTTATGCATCAATTCTTGAGCAATAAGAATATTATCAGTAATATGCCTACCATGGACAAAACTAACCTGATTAGGGCTTATGAGATTGGGCAAGATAGTTCTGAGCCTGGCAACAATAACCTTGGAAATCACTTTATACAAAGTAGAACACAGGCTGATAGGGCGAAACTGCACCATTGACAAAGGACTTTCCACCTTAGGCACTAGAGTAATAAGAGTCATATTAAGCTTCTCAGGAATTGTACACTCATGAAAAGCCTTAAGAACCATCTGAAAGATATCTTCACCACAATGATTCCACTGGCTCTGATAAAAACAAGCAGGAAAACCATCTATCCCGGGGGCTTTTAGCCCTCCAATATTAAACAGACTAGCTTTAACTTCCTCCAAAGCAACTGGTCTATTTAAAAGCCT